GCCTGCGGGGGGACACGGCAGGTGCTCAGACCAGGGGCCCGGGCTCACGGAACACAGGGCGATACATAGCACATGCAGCTGTGCAAGCTCACACACCACACCCACACACACTCACCCATGCACATGCACAGCAATGCGCACGCACACACACTCACAGGTACAACCAAATCCACAGTCTCTCACACCTGCACACACCCACACTCATACACATCCACATGCACGCTCACACCAGCACATGCTCATACACATCCACACGCACGCTCACACCAGCACATGCTCACACGCACATCCACACGCACGCTCACACCAGCACATGCTCACACACACATCCACACGCACGCTCACACCAGCACATGCTCACACACATCCACACACACACTCACACCAGCACATGCTCACACACACATCCACACGCACGCTCACACCAGCACATGCTCACACACTCACATACATGCTCACACTCACACGCACGCTCACACCAGCACATGCTCACACACACACATCCACATGCATGCTCACACTGGCACATGCTCATACACTCAAAGTCACACCAGCACAGGCTCATACACTCACACTCACATGTATGCTCACACCAGCACATGCTCATACGCTCACACTCACATGCACACTCACACTCACACACATGCTCACACCAGCACAGGCTCATACACTCACGCACACTCACACTCACACACATGCTCACACCAGCACAGGCTCATACACTCACACTCACATGTATGCTCACATTCACATGCACACTCACACCAGCACAGGCTCATACACTCACACTCACACACATGCTCACACCAGCACAGGCTCATACACTCACACTGACACACCCAGCGGAAGGCCCGCTGAGAGGGTCAGACACCATAGCCCGGAAGCAGAGGTCCCTGGACTATGGGAAGTGGGGCTCCTTCCCTTCCTCCTCAACCCCGGGCACCAGCCTCCAGCTGCAGAGAGGAGAAACACCTCTGGGGAGAGGGGGAGGGGGGAGGGAGAGGGGGGAGGGGAGGCTGGGAGGAGGGGCGGGCTCCCAGGGCACAAGCCCCGCCCACCACATGCCCCAAGCCCAGATCCAGACCGTGGCCCCCTCTCTGGTCCAGCGTGAGGGCCAGCGTGGTGGCCACATCTCCAGCCGCCCCGGCCCCAATCCTGTTCCCAGTCCGCAGCCAAGCGGTGCCCGACAGGGGCTGGAGGCCTGGCTCGGCCCCACTCTGAGTCCCAGCTGCCACCGCGCCGCCCAGGGCCTGGCGCTTGACGGACAGAGGCAACGGTGCTCTTGTTCCTGTTATAACCCTCCCTCGAGGATTCCCTCCCCACTGACGTCCAGAGAGGGCAGGAGGAGAGAGGAGGGGGAGAGCGGGAAACACCCACGTGAGAGCCACACGCTGCTTGGTTGCCTCCCGCACCCGCCTCTCCCGGGCGGGGACCCTGCAGCTCACGTCCGTGCCCGTGACTGATAATTGGACCCAAGGCCCTTGGATCCGTGGGCCAAAGCTCTAACCGGTTGGCCAAACCAGCGAGGGCCGAAGGGCCATTCTTTTTTTTTTTTTAAAGTATATTTTTATTAATTTCAGAAAGGAAGGGAGAGGGAGAGAGAGATAGAAACATCCATGATGAGAGAGAATCATTGATCAGCTGCTTCCTGCACTGGGCATCGAGCCACAACCAGGGCATGTACCCTGACCGGGAATCGAACCCAGGACCTCTTGGTCTGTGGGCCGATGCTCTAACCACTGGGAAGACCAACAGGGCTGAAGGGGCATTCCTGCACTGGGGCTCCAAGGCACTGCCCCAGGCCACAAGGGGGAGCAGGTGGAAAACAATCTGGAGGTCTCAGAGGACCACAAGCTTGGTGGGTCACAGAGACACCAATGGGGCTGCCAGTGCTGCCTGGACAGACGGGAACCCGGCTGAGAAGGGGGAGCCCCTTCCCTCTTCCCTCCCTGGAGATCCTGAGCCCGAGAGGCAGGGCAGGGCCAGCAGGCACAGCCTCCCCGATAGATCCCAGTCGCCAGACGTTGGGAAGGCCCCGGGGAAGCCCCAGTGGGGATCGTCGAGAGGCCGAATG